ATTGTAAATACATTTTTGTTGCTATATGTGATAAAATTTTCAGGATATCCTTGTGGGACACTGCTATACTGATTAGAATTGGACAGATAACCAATAACCAATTACAGCCCTGCAGGCCAGTAAAAAAAACACAGTACCAAAAAAATAAGCATTTCGCAAATTTTGGATGGTGGTACAGTGTCCTGCTTTTATTTTGGGGGACTTTTGGGGATAAAACATTTCATTTTTCCATGTGAAATATTTGTTTTTGTAACAACACAAAAACTCCACAAGCAGATTAAAAAAAAAAATCCTTCTGCATTATGATCAACCCTAAACAATTATTTTTCAGGGTTTTGCAACATTCATATTTTATTCCACTGTGAAAAGAAACCACATTTCAAACTCACCATTCATACATGAGAAGTCTTATCCTCTAATTAGCCCTGTTGGTGGCAAATATTCCTGATAAACTGGTACCATTTTGCTTGGAGCTGGTTGTGGCAGAAGTACCGGGTACAACAGTACCACTCTGAGGATGCCAGCAGACCTGATGCAATTGTGATGTTTGCAGTGTTAGGGTTCTCCCCCGATATTCAATCTGTTCAGATCAAAGGTTGCCAAAATGTGAGTTTCTAGCACCCAAAGCAGCTCCTACTGCTGCGCTGAGCCCTTGCCAATTCCGTGGGGTTTGTGACACCCTGTGGTACCCAGGCCATAGTTTAGGGAGCTCAGGTGGTTTCTTGTTCTGTTTTTCTGCGGTACTAACCTCAGAAACACTTGATGACTCTATTGCAGTGAGCTCTTACTGTATAAACAGTTATTTAAAATGCTGTGTCCTGAAATATCCACCTCATGGTCCAGGGAAATAATCATGTATTATTGCTTTGTGACACCATATAATCAAGGGAATTGCCTAACAGGAGACAACCGTGGTGCCTTCTGGAGTCACATGGATCTAAACAGTCATCACTAGAAAGCAGTGGAGAAATGACTGTCAGCATTTCTGACCCTTACTGATGCCTGCTGTGTAGATGATCCTCCAAGATGATCTCATGCAATCATTTCTAAGTCTACCATGCCCACTTTATTGGCATATATAAGCTGGCAACTTTTATTTCCAAGAGCTATAGAAGCTATTCAACCAGAGCTGCAGACTAGATGATGACTCACCCTGCTGAAGCTGGATTCAGATCTCTCCTAACCCATTTCCAGAAATGAATGTCTGAAACCTTTGCATCCAACCTGCTGTCTGCCTCATTTGTGTTTTATGCCTTAGGAGAGAAATCTTTGTTCCCTTCTGCTTTCTTTGACTCTTTTTCTGGATGAAGGAACACAAGGAAGAGAGGGGCCGAGGAGAATAAATCTCTCACACTGTACATGCAGCTGTCTGCATATTCCCTGCACCTGTTTGCTCTCCCTATTTTTGGCCCTACAAAATCCTAGGAATTCTTCATCAAAGATTTTTTTCATCCTCTATATCCTGACAGCAGCCAAGATGGCCATCTGTCTGACCATGAGGGAGAAGCAAGCTGGGCACAGTGTTTTCCTTTGGACTGGGAGCCTCTTGCTGTTCCCTGATCTGTGGCCAGAGCTCTTTTTGAAGGTGTCCCCAGTTTCTTCTTTGATCTGGGGTACTGTGTGTAGGTTGCTGCTCAGGTTCTGCTTTGCATCTTTCCATATGACAGTGACCTACATACCTGTCCTTGTCATTAATGGGTCATATCCTGGTTTATCTGGCCCTCCCTTTTCTAAGGGTGATAATACAGGAGAAACCTTTAATTATCTGGTGGTCTCCACCCACCAGTCCCCAAGTTAAATGTGCTGCTATCCTCCGTTCTTGTTTGTGTGCTTTTGAATAAGAACTAATTTAAAGGATTTCCATCCAGGCATCTCTGTGGAGTCTTAAATCTTAATCTGCCCACAATCTTAACTAATTGGATTGGTTTGCGGAAGAAAGCTGCCTGTGGTTTGACTTTCTGCAGAACAGTTAACACCGAAAAAAAAGGGACAAAAAGGTAGAACCTAATTACAGTGATGAAGAAAAAGCAAACTGCATCACGTCTTACCCTGTTGCACGATAGGTATAGACATTGCTTAAATTTGCAGTGGAGGTTTTGCAGGCATAAGCAGATCAGTGGACTACATGGCATTTAATATTCCTCTGCCCTTGGAGGTTAGTTATGCAGGGAATAAGCAGCAGCATTCCTGCAACAAGTCACACTAACTTATGCTTCATTTCTGCTTCTAGTACCATTGCTCTAGTAAAACTCAGAACGTAAAATACTTCTTCTCTTGAGAATGGCTTGTAAGCGCTACCTTACTTTTGCAAGCATCACTGGTGAATTGGTAAGTGCAAATAAAAACATGAGTAGCCAGGGGAAAAAAAAAAAAAAAAAAACAAACAACTTGGAGGTTAAATGACTCATTTTAGGCTTAAAAAGTCAAAAGCAAGATGACAATACACGCATCCACTGCCTACTGAGGTACTGTGCCTATCACTCTTCACACTGTTAGTATACTAGTGCTGCCTGCTGCTATCCCTATGTCATAGGCGATAGCACATCTGCTACAGCTGCATAAATTATGTTCAGATAACCAAAAAGCAAGTGTTTGCCCAAGAAACTGCACCCCTGCAAACACTCTAATGCTGCCTAAAATGCCACCACATCAGGAATGAAAAATGTTGCTAACAGCTCATTTAGCAAGGTCTGTAGTTCACATATGTTTTCTGTTTGGTGCTCCAGCCTCCCTCCTGGCTGGAGGCAAGCGGAGGGAGCCCAGCTGTGCCCAATTATGGTCAGAGCCACATGGAGCTTGGAGTTTAAAAGTGGTGCAGGAGGTCAGGGCTTCACTTTGGTTTGGAGGTGGGGCTGTGTTTCGGTGGATTTTTTTTTTGTTGTTTTGTTTTGGTTTGGTTTGTTTTTTTTTAACTAGTTCTGCAGATTTTTAACCTGATTTTAGCTTATTGTATGCTAGCTCTGTATTGATATTGCTCCCCTGGATCTCGATGCTGTGAAGGTGAGGGTACTATGAGGCCCCCCCATGCTGTAACACAAAAGGTCAATCTGAGTTTGTTTCCTGTTGCCTGTGCTCACCTCTGGAATGGATACCAGTGGTGGGGGCTGGGGCTGAGTGTAAACCAAGCCCTGGTGAGCATTAGAGACCTACTTGAATCCATGAGATTTAGGTGAAGGCTGTAATGATTTCATTTTTCTGAGCTGTTTTTAGGAGTCTGGAAGAACACTGGTCTTTAAATGAATCTCAGTTTAATGCATTTAGGACCTGTGTGATTGATGGTGTCTATAAATACCATTTAAGTGCACAATAGAATATTTAACATGCCATTTTCAGCAGGCTTTGAGCCAGGCTCTCTGCTTTGCTCCTGCAGCAGCTTCCTCTGGCTGTGAGGGGACCCTTTGGGTGGTGTGTCCTTGGCACTGGGGAGGTGTGGCTGCGGGGGCTCCCTCAATACCACCACCCCCCATTTTGGCTAAGGTGTTGTCCAAAGAGCGTGCTGGGCAAGTGAAGTTTGCAGCACCATCAGGGCGGGCATCAGGGGATTTCTGTGCTTCGGGGACAACCTCTGGGACCTCAAGCTATGGGTCAGAATGAGGCAACAGCTGTTTTCTCCCAGGAAAAGGAGGAAATAACCTGGAGGGCAGCACAGGCAAATTGGGCAAGTGGCTCCAGGCGAATAGCTATGGGAAGCATAAAAATCGGGGGGAGGAGTGGAAGAGGTGAATTCTTCCCCCTCAATCCTCCAGAGACATCTGTGGTATTATTTATAATAGTTGGGGTGAGGGGGAAGACTTTTATAGGAATCTGATTACGTGTTTCTCGTTTTTGTGTTTAAGGAGGGAGATTCTTTTGATGCTAGAGTAGAAAAAAGTAGGGTTTACTGTATTAAAACTTGCAAATACTTAGCATAATCTAGTGATTAAAGCAGTCTTTCACTGGTACGCTTGCAAATCATAAATTCCCACTGCAGAATGTCTCCTGTGGCATTTTGCCAATTGACCTTTGCACATTTTGATCTCGCTTTGACTCTAGAAGTTCAGGCTGCTCCCTAGCTTGTTTAGTATCTGTTGTTAACAAAACACTTGCTATTTGAAATACACAGTGCTTAGTGTATGTGCTTCGGGTCCCTGAGCACATGCAATATTGACATCTTGAGGATCATAGAAAAAGCCCGACTCATTAGTGAAGAAATATTTAAATAAACATCCTCAAAGAAAGCAAACAAACTTGGCCATTAGGAAGATGATTTTTCAGCCTGAATTGCGCTAGCAGAGGTGTAGGAAGTACAAGTTTAGTGAACTGGGGAGGAGAGAGGAATTGTGTAGTGCTCACATGGAGCCAAGCTATTCACCCCCTGCCTGCCTTGCGGACTTGCGCGGCAGCCAGCGGTGAGGCTCCACTGGGAAGAGCGGGGACCTGTTCTGCCTCCTGCCCTGCCTTTCTCAGGGGCTGGGAGTGGAGCTGTGGGCCAGGTGGGAAGGCTGGAGCTCGAAGGGAATATGCCTGCCTGGTGTCTGGCAACCAGCAGCCACCAAGCACAGCCTTTCTGCAAAGCACTGCGACCACAATGGCTGCTGCATGCACGAGTCCGTCCTCATTCCTCCTGGATTCTTGTCCAAGATCTGCCTTTGGCTTACCCCCCTCTATTGTCTTCACATTTAAGAGTACAATGTATGGTATTTACCTTTCTCCTTCACTCCCACAAGTAGTCCTGCCGTCAAGGGCTGAAAACACTGGTTGAGACCTTTAAGATAAAAAGCTTATCGCGAGCACTGAGTATTCTTAAATAGGTTGGATATATATTTTGCAAGCCATGTGAAATTTATCATTTATAACCAATGAATGTGTGACAGTTAAGAAATATGAAAGAGAATTTGCTCTCTATGTTCAGGGTCTCTCAGTTCACATGAGTCAATCTCAGAATCGGAAGCCTAAAAAAGGTCACTTTGCAATCCATAAGTAGCTTTAAAGCCTTCCCAGGCCTTAAAGAATCAAGCTTAGCCAGTGCAAAAAAGCCTTCTGGAACAAGGTAACTCTGCCAGCAGAGAGCTGGAAAATGGAGAGAGCTGCTAAGTCTGACATCTCCTGTTCTTGATGCAGGTAGAGGAAGAGCAGAAGGGTTTCTAGAGGTTGAGCATATGTCTGATTTGTCACAGTTTCAGCTAATAATTCTCGTGTTTATCTATTCCAGGCTTATCTCCAAATGACCAAATGTAAAACTTGACATTGCCTTAGAGATACATGAAACAATGGAACTGGTAAGTAGTCCTACCTCTACAGAACCTGATATTCTCTTGTACTGTCCCCTGCCTTTCTTTGTCATTGCAGCCAACATATCCCAGCACTCAGCCACCAGCACCTGTAGTCTGCTGCTTCTTGCTAGACCTGCATCAGTCAAAACATGCAACAGAGTAAGCACGTTTCTTTAAATATTTCTTTAAATTCAGGCTTTCTTTCCATCCAAACCTCCAGTACCCACACATGAGGGAAGGTGAGAGATGCCTCCCATCACACAATGACAGAAACATGTTGTCTCTCAACGCACAGCTGACTCCCCTCCCCTTCATCACACTGAAAACCCAAGTGTTGTGCTTTCATAAAGAAGGCACCTGAAAACAGTCTCTCCCCAGGATCAGTTGCTCTGTGGAGGATGTGGACAGGCACCCCTTTGCAAACAGCTGTGGCAGTGAAAAATGTTACTGTCCCTCTTGGCCTGTCCACAGGAGCACCTTCCAACCTACACCTGTCAGAACAAGCTGGATTTACAAGGTAAGCTTCCCCTTGTTCCACTTTGGCTGAAGCAGGAGAAGTATTTTCATGAGCTGCTCAGCTGGAATGTGAGCTCCTAGGCTGGGGTAGGGATGAACTCCCAGCCACAGGGGCTAGGCTGGAGGCAGGTTAGTCTCCTTGGATCAGCACAGCTGAATCTGGGGACAAACAGCCAGTCCCTGCTTATTTGATATAAACACTTTTGTTCATCCACCTCCTGCTAGTTAACTTCCCCTGAAGTGGAGCTTCCCACTTCATTCCCTTCCCCGTTTCCATGATGCCTTAGTCATTTGAGAAGATCTGGGACAAAACCCCACCTTGACACCTCCCTCCTGTTTGCCCATCCTTCCTTTAGATGCCTCGTCAGGTTGTGAAGCTGGTGCCAGCTATCAGCATTGGACTGTGACTAATGTTCATTTTCTTGCACAACAGCATTCTTGGTTTCTTATTACCCATCTTCAGCCTTCCTGCCATCATCTTCTCTTCCTATCCTCACATTTATGTCATGCGTTCATTGCAAGTAATTAGCTCTTATGAATTGCAAGTCTGGTTTCCTCGGGAAATGAGGTTTAGGTGATCGTGCTCTGTACGTCCTCAGATAACTGTTGAATAAACTGTGTGATTTAATTTGGATGATGGAGAGTGGGCTCAAAGCTAATTGAATTCCTACAGGTTTTGTGCAAGTAGTCAGCTAGCTGGTGCAGAGAGGAACCCTGAAATCATGTGCTAGAAAGAAAGGTAACAGATAAATTTGCATCTTTATTTGATACAAAACAATTCATAAGGGAGATGCATTAATAAGTATCAAAGTGCCTCAGTTTGTACCTGCAAATGACCACAAGACATAAGAAACCTGGACTCTTGTGTTAGTGCTTGCTGAATTACTTGCTTTTTTTTGTTATTTGCGCAGTGACTGAGACAATAGCTTTAGATCCCTGAGAGGGATTTTTAGTGTGTTACTACAGACCATGAAACAGTAATAACAGCAATAAATGCAGACTGTACTAATGAATGTTTCCCATCCATGAAGCTATTTTCAGGGCAGCACCTTTCCATAATCCTGCTGGCTCTGGCACTTCTCCATAGATTTCTCTGCCACAGCATTGTAAAATCTTGTTCAGTCTCAATGCACTAATTTTGCATCTGTTTCATTTCAAACGGTGGCACAATAGTGCTTGAAAGGACATTTTGTCTTTCTTCGTTGTTCCTGCTGGGAACGAAAGGCAACTCTGGTTCTGTTTCACCAGGGTCCACCAAACTGACATAGTGCAGTTGAGTTTTGGCCATCTTCTCAGGCTGCCCACTCCCCTGGTTGGTGAATCGCAGGAGATCTAGTCACCAGAAGTTCATCTGACAACTGCAGGGCACAAAATTTTACCCCACCATTTTGGTGGTTTCTGCCAGCAGCAGATTCTCAGCCCTTGCCCATCACATTCCCCTTCCACTGACAAGCTTAAAAAGTAGCCGGGTGACACGTAGGCACGTGCAACCCTGCAAGAAATCAACTGGCCTGCAAATGGCAGGTGATGGATCTAAACCTGGCTCAAGGTTTCCAGCTCCTGACTGCTTATACCACAAAGGTGATAAGTGCAGTACTAAAAATCAGTGTGAGGTTTTGCATGGTGACACACGTCGGCCCAGAAGAGGAGAAAACAGAGGACTTAACCACAGACCAATTCTATTTTTTTCTGAAAAAGGGCACTTTTCCAATGTAAAGCAATTCCTAAAAATAAAAAGTCTTGTGCAGCAGTTTGGCTGCCATGTTTCATGCAGTAGTGCCATGTTACAGAGATAAACATCAGTGCTTAGCTTACAGATTGTCTCAACACCTGGAAGGCTGTTATAGAGACAGGTTTAATAATTAATTGTCACTTCCCTGAGACAATGCACCCTGGATCTCTTAAGGACCATATTGCACACCAGGTAACAGGAGGAGTAGGCAAAAGAGACAAAAGCATTAGAAAAGATAAAAAGACTGAGCTCAAATAACATTATTCCTCATGTTGTGGTGGAAATGGGGCTATATTCACCTGATCCTGTGAGGAGGTTGCCTAGAGATGGTTCAAAGTACTTGAGGTCAAAATACTTGTATTCCAAAGTTGCTTTTAAATAAATGACTCTCATACGGGTGGTGGCAAGAAAGATGGGAGCAGATCGATTCCTTGATGTTACTACACTGGGCTTATGTCATGTCACCCTGCACAGATGGGGTTACAGAGGGGTGGTTTTGTAATCAGAAAAATACAGCACCTGGAAATGATGATGGAAGGTTCCTATAGGATATGTTTTCTGTATGTGCTATATATTTTTTTTCTGATCTGTTTAGCACTACATTTTTCTATGAAAGCTATAAACCTAATGAAATCAAATGCTACAATGAAGTGAGTAGTATGAAAAAGTATTATTCTGCTGGGCTCCTTAGTGACCATATTCTGGCAGCACTAGCATCTACTTCTGTCTGTGTCTTGGCAACCTTCCCATGACAGTTGCCATCGTTTACCACCTTCCTGGGGGCCTGTGTGTTACGATAAGAGTATCGAGAAGAAAGGAAATGTCTGTGTGCCCACCTGGATTGTGGGTGAAGGTAGAGGGCCAGGTGAAGGAGGTGACGGGCAGAAGAGGAAGGGCTCAGGGAGAGGAGGCCAAGCCTGGGGTATGCAAACAAATAAGTACATACAACAGGTAAATGTGGACTTGTGTTGGGGTGGGCAAATGATGTGCTTCAAGATGTGGTGCATAAAAGCATCAGATGTGCACGTGGGGAAGGAAAGACCCCCAATGTATCAACTGCACCTTTCTCCAACTAATGCTTTAATTTTTTTTTTTTTTTTTAAATTGCTGCAAACACATAAGGAATTTGAGCCATAGGGATATGAATGATGCACAATCTTAATTTAAACTACAGTGCAGGTGCAAGCACCATGAGCAAAGGTTATCTGGTGACATGGATGAATAGATATATAGCAGCTGATGGCACAGACCTGCACGTTCTCATAGCAGTGCTGTTTTGCAAACTCTGATGCAGGAAAATCTTATCATAATAGCTTACTTGACCAACTGTGTATGTTTACTGATGTGAATAGTCTGATCTTAATGGAATTGATGAAATGAGCATAATTATGAACATGATTAAGATATCTACAAGGACAAGAATAACTGATGGTGCCTGCTGTGTTGTGGATTTAGGCTGCTGGTGATCAGTGTGTGTTTCATTATTGAGCGAAGCCCACTGATGTCCTGGGCAAGACACACAGTCCATTTTTCTCATGTTTTTTATTGCCGAAGAGGATCTTGATTTCAGTGAGTCAGAGTTCTTTGGTAAACATGTTCATTCAGATGGCTTTGAAAAATGTGTTTCCTTATGAACTGTAGCTGGGTCTCAAACTTCTTTGATAAGCACAGTGAACAAATTGAAATACTAATCATTGATCTGGGCAGTTAAATTACTTTTGAAGATGGTTCTGATGCTGTTGGGCACACTTTCACAGTGCTGTTGTAAAAGGAAAGAACTCCTGAGCTGGAAGAGGGGTTTAATAGAGGAAATTACTTGGGATTGCACTGGCTTCTGTAAGATAGACTGTTGCTGAGGAAAAGCTCTGTTGGCCAGCTTCCTCTTAGTTTATGGCCAGATCCTCAAAGTACAAGTCATACTGAGCCAACTGAAGGCACTTTTATACTACCTGAATTTCTTACCCTGTACTTTCTAATCATTTTTGAGAGCTTGCATCTGTTAATCTGCCATAAAAAACTAGCCTGAGCTGAAGCACAGCATTTCTCAACCAAGTCTGTAAATCTCTCCTCTATAAGACATTTGAACGAATTTGTTGTCTCTGGCATAGAGATTTTAAATTACATAACAGCAAGTTGTATGTGAAGAACCAGTAGGAGCAACAGTGAGATATGTTTGTGGAGATGAGGGAATTGCTCTCTTGATTGTGAGAAGTAGCAAATAGCTTGTGTGACTCCACAATGTCTGGGCTTTTAAGCAAGTGCTGGAAGATGCAATCATGATACCATAACTGGCTTGTAGAGATTGTACACATTTCAATTTTGGTTCTATCTCTGATGAAACAGCTTTTTCCTATCTCCTCCTTAGCTATAAGTGTTGGCACTCTCGCTATGCACCACTGCTCCAGCACTGGTGATAACATTCAGCATTTGCTGAGTACTTTACATACTTCCAGTGCTGAAAAAAACATTAGCTTATTAAAACTTCCACTGTTTCTGTAATAGAGCAGTGATTAGAATTATCTTCACTTTATGGGCAGGAATAAGGGAGAACGGAGTTTGAGTGACCGGACCGTAGCAAATTAGTGGCAAAGTTAGGATGGTGCTGTTGATTTCTGCATATCCTCTAAAGACTCCTGAAAATTATATTCCCTATTCACTCAGCTGAATAGCCTTGGGCTTTCTCTTTTAGTGCGGGTGTGAACTTGAGTCTAATAGGTAGTGGGAATTCAAATTTCTGGCATTGATGGTTTTTGTTTTG